ACTTTGGGGTGGTTGGTGTTGCAGCAACTTGGTGGGTGGCTCCAGCTCCTCCTGGCTGATGCCACTGTGCCAGGAGATGTGATTGGCGGGGCGGCGGCGTGATGGTTTCCCACCGCGGACACGGTGCGTGGAGGCGTCTGGCGGCAGCTGCCCCCACACAAGCTTTGCTGTCTGTTTGCAGGGGTTGTGTGGCCTTGCGGGGTGGTTTTCCTGCTTCTGTGCTGGGTAGGTAAACAGATGGGGGAGGAAGAGAGGCCCCCGTCCCCTCCCTGTTGGAGCAGTCAGGCCGTGTGTCCAGCATGGTGACCCGGTGATGTCGTGGCGTCAGGCAGCTCACTGCAGAGGGCTCCGATGTCAGGTGTCTGCCCTGTGCCCAGGAAGACGAGCTGCACCGAGGAGAGCGAGGGGGCGGGCTCGCACCTTGCCACTCACAGCTGACTCCGTGCTTGCCGAGTGTGGGAGCAACAGCGCTGATCCTGTCTCCATGGTTCTGTGGAAGTAAAATAACGGACGGGCAGCGCCGAGACGTGGCTCAGATCGGGGCGTAGGGACCAGGTTCCTTCCGCACCACAGGGCCTGGCGCAACCCCACTCGGCCCTGCCTCCAGCTTTGGAGGGGCTGGGTCTGTGCCCCTACTGCTTGGACTGGGGGCAGCGCCCAGTCCCCAGCCCCCTACGCTAGAGACGAGCAGAGCCAGACACTAGTTACCGTGTGAGAAGAGGCTTTATTCAGTGACGCTACCACCGGGAGGAGCTGAGCTCCCTGAGATGTGTGCAGAGGGCTGCTGAGTGTCCGGCCCGGTGGCCACCGCCTGTTGTGTCTCCTGCAGACAGCAGCCGGGCCCATCCTCTCTGAGGATTCCAGTTCTGGGGTGGAGGGGACACGCGTCACAGTTGTCAGCTGTCTTCAGTAGTGACGCGAAGAAAGGGGGGCAGGTCCTGTGGTCATGTGCCAACAGGACAGTCAGTGGTCCCTGCGGGTGGAGCTTTCTCAGGCAGGTGCTGCCAGGGGCTGCGGTCCTAGGAGCCACGCCAGCGTTGGGTCACCTCTCAGGACAGGGGCCTGGACAGCATCTGTAGGACGAACACCTCTGTGGTTCTCGCCTTCCTTTGCCAGGGACTGGTCAGCACCACCGGGACTGGTCAGCACCACCCTCCCAGCGCCCAGCCGAGGGGCCACTTCTGCAGAAAATGTGTGTGTGTGGTTTTTCTAAATTGAGGTGAAAGTCACATCGTGTAAAATGAACCATCTGAACGTGCACCGTTCTGTGCCATTTTTTGCATTCACAATGTTGCGCAGCCACTTTGTCTAGTTCCAGAACATTCCCATCTCCCCACAAGGGGGCCCCCCTGGCACTCACTGCCCAGTCCGCTCACCTCCCAGGCACCCACCGGTCTGCGCTGTGCCTCTGGATTGGCCTGTTGTGGACATTGGTATTAGAGAGGGTCCACACCCAGCACCCCGACTGACACCGTGTGCCTCTGTCTTTGCAGCTCCCGACTACAAGTCCATCCTGAGCATTAGTGACGAGGCCGCCAGGGTGCAGGCCCTGAACGAGCACCTGAGCACGCGTAGCTATGTCCAGGGCTACTCCCTGTCCCAAGCAGACGTGGACGTGTTCAGGCGGCTCTCGGCCCCTCCCGCGGACACGCGGCTCTTCCACGTGGCTCGGTGGTTCAGGCACATAGAAGCCGTGCTGGGCGGCGTCCCCGGCTGCGGTGAGCCCCGTGGGCTCCAGACAAGTGAGTAGCAGGGCGGGTTCCCCGGCCTTTAGACCCTCTCCCGTCAGTGGCCACCTCCAAGGTGAGGGCCCCACGGCCGCATGGCGCTTATTGGAGATGGTGCCTGGAGGAGCCCACACGGCTGGCTCTGTCACCATGGGCAAGCAGGTGTCCTTGGGGCTGGCCAGTGGTCCCTGAGTACAGGTTAGGATAAAACATGCCCAGATCGGGCCCTTTAGGGTCAGGACTCCCGTGGTGTCTGCAGGGGACCTTCCCGGAGGGTGTGTGGCCCCCGGGGTCCTGCCTGGCGTTTCCAGCCTGTTCCCTGCCTGGCTCGGATCCGACTTGGTTCTTTTTCCCTGTACCTCCCATAAGCTTGACGTGCGTGTGTGTCCACCAGGGTTAGAGTGGTTCAGTCCTCAAGCAGCAGTCACTGACATTGAACTAGTTGAAGATCAAAACGAGCCATTGTCGGCTTTGAGAAAATCAGTCACGTAGCTCTCCCTCCAGCCTCAGTGCTGGTGTGTCCGCAGCAGAGGGGCCCCAGTTATTTCGGGGTGCATCTGGAATGTCTCAGGTCTCAGTTCCCATGTGGTTTGTCTATCTTTTGAAGCAGCCCAGGGGATTTTGTTCTCCCCATGGCCACAGGCCTCAGCAGCCCCAGAGACCCTCTCAGACATGGAAGGTCAGACTACGGCTCTGCCTGAGTCCCTTCCCAAACCCGGGCGCACCCAGCTGAGCTTGGCATTTGTATAAAGCACAGGGGAACACCAGCTGGAATTGTCAGCTTGTGGAGCAGTGTGTGAGGGCGGGAGACTTGCTAATAAGTGCACCCTTCAATGCAGGGGGACGTTGGGGCATTGAAGTGAGGGAAGTACTGGAAATGTGTTGCTGTGACACCGAGGAGGCCTGAGTGGTATCTCCCGACACCCCCATCTGCAAGTAGGAACTTGTATTTGCCAGGTCTCCTTGGACCTGGGACCAGCGGTGTGGCAGTAGCAGCCCTTGGGGAAGCAAGAAAGCCAAGTGTGACTCCGTGCCTTGCCAGGTCCTCAGCTGTGTCCTGTGACACTGGTCACCAGCCACCTTGAGTCTTCTTGGATGAGTCTTTGGTCCTGTGAACCCCGAGCCTTTCCTGCTTCCTTCCTGCTTAGCAGGTCGAGTGTGGCAGTCATCTGGCTCACATCAGTGTGTGGGGAGCCCTGGCCGGTCACCCCAGGTGGCACACTGCCTGTGTTTCGGGAGGCACAGGGACTCATGAGGGCGGAAACTGGTGGAGTCATGAAGTGGCAGAGTGAGCATCATCGCATCAGGGCTGAGGTTCCTTCCAGGGCGTTCGCTCCTTTTTAAATGAGCCTATGAGGCCGCCCCTGACCATAGCGAGCATCTGACGTCCCAGCAAGGACTAGGGCGCCCTGCACTGGGCCTGTGGCCCCCTGAGAGCCTGCCGGCCCTGCCTCGAGTACGGAGCTCCTGTTCAATGCTGTCTGTGTGTCTGTCTTCCTCCCCACCTGTGCGCGCGTGCACACACACACACACACACACACACACACACACACACAGCTGCCATCTCCTCTCCCCTTCGCCTGTCACCTGTGTGCATCCTCTGTGTGGCTGCTGTGACCGTGGGCAAATGGCTGAGCCCCGGACTGCTCCGTGACTCTTGGGTAGCAGCGTGTGATCCGCTGGCCGCCCTCAGTGTAGATTTGAGGGCGGCCTGTGTGGGGTGTCACCATTGGCAGGTCGTNTGCCCGTCGGGCGCTGTGTTCCTTCTCATCGGGTTTCATCTGCAGCCGTGGCCATGAGGCAGGGTCACGGGGGTGCCCCACCACAGGCGAGCACGAGGTGTAAGACCCACTTGGCCTTCCTCCGCTGGCTCAGGCAGAATCCACGCAGCACGGGCAGGGCTGTGATGATGGGGGCTGCTCCCCAGGAGCCCACGGGCTGGGTCCTTCGAGCTGCCCACTCAGGGGAATGAGGAAGAGCTGGGGTAGCCCTACTCAAGGTCACCTTCAGCGGGGCCCCCTCTGGGTCTCTGCTTCCTTTGCCAGTTCCAAGAACTGACGTGAAAGGCAGCTTGATCTCTGCAGGTCTACCGTGAAGCAAGAGCAGCGAGTGTGCCCTGCAGCTGTGCGCCTCTGGGGTACTAGAGGGCACCTGAAGGCGTGAGTCTTTGGGGTTCAAGCAGCCCCCCTGCAGGCGTGAGTCTTTGGGGTACAAGCAGCACCCCTGCAGGTGTGAGTCTTTGGGGTACAAGCAATGTGCCTTGCAGGTGGGCACCCCGGGGTTACAAGAGTGCCGCCTGCAGGTGTGAGTCTTTGGGGTACAAGCAGCACCCCCTGCAGGCGTGAGTCTTTGGGGTACAAGCAGCACCCCCTGCAGGTGTGAGTTTGGGGTACAAGCAGCGCCCCCCTGCAGGTGGTTGCCCCGGGGTACAAGAGCACCCCCTGCGGTGTGCACCTCGGGGGTACGAGCACCCCCTGCAGGCGTGAGTCTTTGGGGTTCAAGCAGCGCCCCCCTGCAGGTGTGCATCTCTGGGTGGCCAGGCTCCGGCTGAGCTAGTGCTGTGGGCGGAGGGCGTACAGGCAGGTGTAATGCAGGTGGACCCCAGCCCTGGTCCCTGGGCACGGGGGTGCTCCCCCCAGAGGGCTGACAGGCCCCGAATGACAGGTGAAACCCAGCCCATCACAGGAGCACTGCACTTGGAGATGACTTTCTGCTGCTCGCTCGCTCACTCATGCAGCAAAGTTATTGAGTGTCTAGAATGTTCCGGGCTTAGTTCTAGGTGCTGAGTGAAGGAAGCTGACAGAAATCCAGGGGGCGGGGCAGACGATAAAGGGAAGGAAGAAGTGAAGTGTATTAGACAGAAATAAGCCCGATGGTGATAAAAGGCGGAAGGGCGTGGGGTCCCGGGGGTGGGGGTGGGGGTCATTTGGAGCAGTGTCCAGGGAGGCCCCCGCGGAGTCCTGAGGAAGGGAGAGCATTGCACACAGGCCGGGACGGTGGGACGAGAGACCCCGGAAACGGAGCCGCTCTTGTGGGTGAGCAAGGTGGGGCAAGCACTGCCGTCAGAGAGGCGTGGGCTGCGCACGTGGGGCCGTCCTGGAGCTGGTGTGAGGACTGCGCTTTTGTGCGATGGCTTTGTGCGATGGCGCGGGGGTGGTCTAGAGGAGGAGCACGTGACCCTGCACGTCTCGGCAGGCCACTGTGGTAGGAAGCTGGGAATCTGGGGTTGGGGGCTCCCAGCATCACAGAGATTGGGGAGAGGGAGGCCTGCGATGGTGGGAGGGGCTGGATTCCGGATGCTGACGCGATGGAAGGTGGAGGCCCCGCCCCGATTGTGTGATGGGGTGGCTGTGGGTGCTCCTGAGGGTGATTGATTTGTACAGGGCGTGACTCCAGTTGGGGTGAAAGTCGG